GTGGGGGGGGTGGGGGGGGTCGGGGGGGGGGGGGGGGGGGGAAAAGAGAGAGAGAGAACGGAAGATCGTCGCCAGACGCCGTCGACCGTTCGAGTCTGTGGGGAGACAGCGAACGCCTCGAAGATACATGCCTCAAACCAGGAAAGCATTTTGAATATTTATCGTTCGGAACGGGGCCCACGCGGGAATGCAATAACGAGACGGCCCCCTCTTCCCTCGCCCCCCCAGGTCGCAGACCAGCTGTAGATTGCTTGGAGCTTCCCACTCCACGCCAAGTCTCAAGCGTGCCCATTTATACAGGGTGATCCAAAAAGAAAACGCATCCTGTTTGACGCCTTGTAAAACCCGCTGTGGATCATCTAGGTTCGTGGTGCCTTCGTTTCACGTTAGAAGCACCACGAAGTTTGTTTTCGGAAAGTTTCACGTACCTCGGTTGTTTGAATAAGAATTCAGTCGTCTAAAGTGGAATTCATAAAATGTACATTTTCCGCGCACGAAGTGAATGGAGTTTCAGCCCTGTTCGAATCATTTCTTACTTTTCCCGAGCAATATTTCTCTCAGCCATGGCTAACAGTGCAATTTTTTTTAATTCGGGCAAAAGAGTATTCTGAACATACTGCATGCAAAAAGATGGATTTCACTAATCATCAAGATAGAATTGACTCGTACGTAATGTTGTTTTTGAGCTTCTAAGCTACTCAGTGTGAGAATCGAGAGTATACCCAGTATGAGGGTCGAGGTGGTCGCTGTGGTATGCGTGCGAATGCTTGGATGGTGGTGCCTTTCTGAATTGGCCTTGCGTTGTGGGTTGACACCTTTTCTTGATCGTGGAATACGGTTGGGTAAACCTCTGAGAATATTTTACTGGAAGAGTGGTCATCTCTCGTGCAGAAAATTATGAACATTCTCTTATGAAACTACGTTCCAATCAGCAGGACTTCTGAGTGCAACACAGAAAAACAGTTCTCTTTCGAAATTCTTTCACCGACCCGTGAATCATCACACGTAGGCCAAGGAGGTAAGACGCTTGGAATCCGATGTCGACGACTCGTAACGTGACACCCACGAAAATCCTTGGGGGCAATGGATGCGTGGTGGAAATGAGTGAAATGAAGTCTGCTTTTCGGTGATGTTTCTCTCTTCCCGTAGTCTTCCGAAATTGTTGGAAATTCAAAAATAAAATTTGCCTCGAATGTCGACCCTTGCCCGTTGACCAAAAACGTGGGATTTCACAAGGACGCGCCGAGTGGCAGAGCCCCAACGCCCAAGTGAATGCCTACGTGCATTGTGATCGTTGTCACCATCACCATCGTCGCCGTTCAAAATCACCGTAATTTTTCGCTTCAGTCGAGCAATGAGGCAAAAAACGGAATCTCGAGACTGGCTTCAGACACGTTGACACTGGGTGAGGGTGGAGGCCCAGTCCGACGGAGTCTTTTCGCGCGGGAGGGCGAGTTACTGTCGTGAGGAAGGGCGAGTTGCTGCCGTGAGGAAGGGCGAGTTGCTGCCGTGAGGAAGGGCATTCACCGAGCAGGGATGAGGGAAATTTCACGGTAGGGAAGAGAAATCGTGCTTCGCAAGATTTTTCCCGTCTCCTTGCTTCCATACGAGTCGATGAAAAATCACAGCCGAACGATTAAGTTCAAAATCATAACATTAAAACTCCGAGTAAGTGTCGAGTACTCTACTGGACAAGTGGTACCCTCTCGTGCGAAAAATGATGAACCTAAATTTCAATCACCAAGACTCCCGAGAGCTTCTGAGAATAACAGCTCACTTCCTAAATTGCTCGGCAAATTCATCCAGCAACTCGCACAGGGTAGCAAGGCCCCTTCGAATCCAACGTCCATGTTAACGTGACGCCCACGAAAACTCTGGGAGTGCAACGGATGCGTGGCGAAATAAAAACAGGACACCATTGGGGTAGAATCCTATTCATTGACGATGCATCAAGGACTCGAATTACCTTTCGGCCGGAGAGCAGTTGAAATACAATTTTTGAAGAAAAAAAAAATGCACTGCCAGAACATTTCTTGCGGTGGAGTCTCCGGCAGGACCGTGAGACCGGCTCGTGGGATTCGGACTAGCCGGTCCCGTCGTTCTTCGGGCTTTGATGCCGTCGACCACAACATTTGAATCGGGTGAGACAGAGAAAAAAATATGCAGATGCCCGACGACGTCTGAGCAAAGGCATTTGTACACGATCAGCAATTTCATGAAAAAAAAAATCAAGTCGAATCGATTCCAACATATACGATATATATATATTTATCGGTGATGAGATTTCGTCAAAATATCTTCTTTCCCAGGGTCTTTATCTTTCTCTCTGCGGAATCACAGCATTTGATTTCCCTCGGACAAAATTTCGACAATGTAGAAATGGAAAAATCTGGGACGATGTGCAAATGCCCTTCCGAAACACGAAACACGACAGTCAAACGGATTGCATAAAAAAAAAACCACGTGCCATGGATGCTCTGAGGCAAAGTGACGAAACGACTCCGGCAAACATCTGGCAACAGGGTTCCCACAAGAAGAAAAAAAAATCTGAGTATCGCACGTCCCTGAACGTTGGCAGTTTTCCTATGGGGATTTGTACCATTTTTGTGGCACTTCACAAACGCTCGGATGGGATTTCGCCGATCGTCGAGACAACATCCCTCATCTGTCGAGTTAGCTGTCTCTTCTGAATCTGTGGGAACCCTACTGGCATCGTCTCAAAAGACATGGACCATGAGCTCTAAAAAAAAATAATAATAAATTCAAGTGAAAAAAAAAGAAGAAAATCAACACAACCTATAGTTATAGTATCGAATTTGCACCTTTTCGTCGAGGCAAAAGAGCATCGTTACGGCTTTCAGGTTTAAGACATTTTTATGGCCTCCGAAACACTGGAATCTTGCAGGTGGCACGGGAGATCAACCCGAGAGAGAGAGATGCACCTCGTTTTCGACTAATGAAACTCGATCTCGGTGTCGATAACATCTTCGTTTGGAAAAAAAAGAAATCTCTAAAAAAAAAAACCAGGAGTAAAAGCATTACAAAAAAAATCGGGGGAAAATTGTGAAAAGGTAATATTTGATGACCCTCGGGATGTCAGAAGAGACTTGAACACAGAGCACTGTAAACCCGGAGAGAAGCACTTCACTCGATTACATTGCCATACTGGAATGTACAAAACGACAGCCGAGCGCTACCTCACAGAGCATGTACCGGGACTGCATAGACGGTGAATGAGAACGGGTGAAAAAAACTGGCAGGACCATCAAACTTTCAAGACGCAATCCCATACTGCCCCATGCTAACAGAGAGGGAGGGAGGAATGAGAGAGCGAGAGCGAGAGAGAGAGACAGGAAAAAAAAAAGTAGATAGAGGTATACAGTACCAGCACTTTCAAAATCTCCGTTCATGTCCACGTGTCCTGTACCCCCCCCCCCCCCTCCCTCCCCCAACGTATCACGCCACCAGATCATTCCCCTCTCTCATGGGTCGGCCGGCGCCTCTAGCATCTCCATGAGGAGGGTGTCGAGCGGGGTGTCTCCGATCAGCTTGAAGAAGAACAGATGCTCCAAGCATTTGAGACCGATGCTCCTTAGGGCTGGCAGACGCAGGAGGAGCTTCGCGAAGCGACCGTTCTCTTCCGGGTACGTCTGCTTGCAATACTCTTCGAGGGAGACGAACACCTTCTCCCTCAAGGTCATCACCTGGTTCACCGAGCGCAGTCCTTTCGCCTCTGCAACATCGGAAACGTGTCGTTGCGGTCGCCGTTCCTCGAACTCACCGAAACCGATTTCGAAACCTCACCCGGATTGAAAAGGACGATCGCCCTCAAGCATCCGAGCTCCGTCTTGTCCATGCGCATCTCCCGCATCTTCGCCACCAGCTCCGTGAGGACCCGGTCGAAGATGGAGCCCACCCCGGCCCCGTGCGCCGAGTTCCGCTGCACGAGCAGCCCCGACGCCAACAGGATCCCGTCCTTCACCTCCATGGACCGGTGGGAGAAGGCGGCGATGAGGAGTTCGTTCCAGCCTGCAAGAGGGAAAAAAACAGATGCGATGCGACAGACGATCGAAACGCACGCGGGGAAAATCCTCCCGACTCGTCACCTGCTCTCAGAAGACAAACTTGATCGTCGAGAGGGAGGTCGGTAAAATGAGGAATGTGTTTGGCCCACTCGACGAGCTGAATCAACTGCTTGTCCGCAGCCTGACAGATGTTCGTCACGTCATCCTACGGTAAAAAAAAAAAAAAAAAAAAAAACAGCCAACAATGAAAACCCCTGACTCTCTCACGCTCCACCCCGACCCCACCCCACCCACTCACCTCCGAATCCGCCGAATGGTCCTCCCTGGTCTCCACCCGCTTCTCGGCCTCGAGGAATCTCTCGACCGGCATGTCGTTGGGGGTCCCGCTCGTGGACTCCACCTCGTTCTCCCCCTTCTCCTTCGTGCGCTGTCTCTCCTCCTGCGAAAAGACGGACCCCCAGAAACGGATTCAATCGCGGCTTGGCTTACCCTACTCCGACGTCAGACAGGGTTTTTTCCCTCGGGGACGATTGCCTACATCTTTGAGCTCTCCCCTGGAAAAATACTGGAAAAGAAGCAGAGTCGCCTAGTTCCCCATGATCGCGTCACGCCACAGTCCCCCCGTCGAGGTCTTCCCCATAAAAAAACCTCAAAGACCACTCCCGACACCCATCGGAAAAAGGCAAAAAAAAAAGACACAAAATCCACCTCACCTGCACGGCCTCCCTCTTCATCCCCATGGCGAGGCATTTCTGGTAGCGGCAGTACTGGCACCGATTACGCTGTCGCTTGTCTATTATGCAGTTGCGATCCTCTCGGCAGGCGTACGTCAGATCTTTGCGGACGGTTCGTTTGAAGAATCCCTTGCATCCTTCACAGCTGCAACAACATTTTGTTCACTTCACTGCACGAGAAGATGCTCATTAATTAAACGTAACTGTAGCAGAAGGCTAAAGTCGATTTCAGACAAATTCTATCCAACTGCGTAAATACAATTATATTTTGAGGATAACGAACAAAACTACGGAATAATGGGTCTTCAGAGAGCATTGTTTTTGGTAGCACTCAGGATGAGATACAAAGTTAATAGATAAGCGGTATGACTCAACGGCTGCATGCGCTCACGAAAGACACCGTCACCTTTTGGGCAACCCAGAGGACAACTACAGAAGAACCGCGAAGAAGCGGGGGAGAAAGTAAACCACAAACGCGAAACCCTTCGCCGACAACCGTCACGGGTCGGGATCCTCGGCGGAGCCCGGACAAAAGGACGGGGTGACGGGAGGGGAAGGCAAAGGTAGAAAAGTCGGAGGAAAAGTGAAACGAGCGGAGAGAACGGCCGTGCATTACACTGACAGGCATCTTGGCAGGTGATCAACCCCCCCCCCCCCCCCCCCCCCCCCCCCCCCCCCCCCCNCTTGGCAGGTAACCCCCCCCCCCCCCGTTGCCAAAAATCCCAAGAGACTTGCCAGAAAAATGTCCTGCTGCTCCGAAAGCGACTTAACATCCTCGACAGAAGAAGCCCAAGTTTGGCCTTGCAGGAATCGCGAATTTCTGCTCGTCTCGTGGCTCTCGGTCCTCTCGCGAGCAAATCCGCGGCCAAAGTCGCCAGCCGGCGAAACCCGTACGACAGGCTCGACTCCCCATCGTTCCGCGAACGTGCCCCCATTAAAAGACAACATACACGTGAGGCCATCTTCGACGGTCTCGATGATGATACGCCATCGAATGTACGACCTCGCCCGCGACCTCTGGCCGCGCCTTTGTCCGCGCGCGGCTTATCGCACGTCGTGACTGCCCTTGGGTACCGAAAGCGTCAGATCCATTCACTGGATCCCTTATCTGCCCAGTCACGGCCGGGTGAAAAGCCAACAGCCGATGCGAAACGCCTCCCCCCCTTCCCCTCCATTCAACGCCACCCAAAGGAACCCTCGCTTAGAGGAAAGCATCGTGTGATCGCACGCGAGTCACTTTCTCCGTGCCAGCACGAGACGAGATCGACAAGTCGAAGCGCGCCCCCCTCCCTAGCAGTCACGAAAAAATCGCAGGAATCCGTCATAAGTACAGGAAGGACGGAATAAGCCGCCGGAGGGAAGGAAGAGAGAGTGCGAGCGAGAGCGAGCGCGACCTTGAAATCCTCGAGCAAAGAGAGCGAGAGCGAGCGAGCGAGAAACACGAGACGGAGAACCACGAGATCGAGTGAAGGAAGCGCGGAGGGAAGGAAGAATAGGAATCCTGTGGGTTTCTCTCCTCTCTGGATGTGCGGCTGACCATAGAGTGGCATGGACCATCGCTCACGCACCGGAAGACAACCCTCCCCCCCTTCCCCCCGAAGCGCTACCGCCCCGGCACTCACCTGTACACGCCGTAGTGCTTCCCGCTGGCGCGGTCCCCGCAGATGCTGCATAGGTGCTTGGACCCCGAAAGTGGGTGGTTCGGTGGGTAGTTGGTGGGTGAGGTCGTGCCTCCGCTCCCGCCGCCCGGCCCCTTCCCGCTCAGGTTGCTCGGGCTCATGTAGCCCCCGGCCGACGAGTGCACCGAGAACGCCGCCGAGGACATCCTGCAAAACGACGACACTCCCGTCATCCACCGGCGGGGAACCCGACCCCCCCAAAAACACCCTCCACGACGCAGAAACGTACCCCGACGGCGAGTTGGGCCCCGTGCTCCCGGGGCTGAACGCCGACGCCGCATGCGCCAAGAGTGTGGCCGTGTCGGGTTTCAAGTCCAAGGGGCTCTGCGGCCCGCCGGTCTGCATGGAAGAAGAAGCCGACATCTCCAGACCCTCCGCGTCCCCACCTGAAACGAAGACCGGCACCGTCCCTTCAACCACGGCGACTCTCGTCCCGACGTCGTACACCACGACCCCAGCCACCCCCCCCCCCCCCAGATAAAACCATCCCGATAAGGAAATACCTCCGGAAACGCCACAAGAGATCCCAGTACGAGGATTTATAGCCGGGCGTGGAACCACATCTGGCAATCCCCCCCCGCGTCACGTTTGAGCAAAGACCATTCCCTACAGCCGCATCCCATCCAGACCAGGCTTGCCAAAATAAACCAAAACCACCAACAGCTGGGGAAAGGATTCGAAGGTCCAAACGACATCTGTTTCGCCGATTGCGTAGGCGTTCTACGCGACAAATCGTCCGTCCGAAAGCAAAGAAACGAACACGGAAATGTTGCCACTTTGATTAAATTTTTATGCGACGACGAGTGGCGCTCCACCGTCAAATCCCGAACCAGTCGATCCTCGAGGAGAAATGCTAATTACCACGCAGAACAAGATCCACGATCCAATCCCATTGGTATTTACGGAAAAGAGGATTATTTGCGGATCGGCAACTTTGGCATTAGATCGAGGGCGTCGCACCTAAAAAGACAGAAGAAACCCGACGCATCACACGATACGGGGGCAGACGCTACACCGCTGAGCGATGCCTCCTCGAGTATTGTCAATGACCTGTATGAATAAGAAGCTGTTGGGAGGGGAGGGGAGGGGAGGGAGGAGTTTCACGGCCTCTCCTTACGAATTCGACAGACGGGACCTTTGAATCATCCAGGGGTATTCTAATGCAAATACTTCGTTTTAAGTCGGAGAAGAACCGGAAAATCTCCTTCAAGTAGACAACGAATGGCTCCACTCAGGGAGGCATATGCATCGTGAACCCTATGCTAAAGGGAACCCGCGAATCGAAATCGTGGGGAGAATCCCAAAAGGTGCATGACCGCACGAACGCCACGCGGCGAACGACGAAACCCCACAGCGTCCTCGGCTGCGGGTCGGCCCGGAAAACCGCATCCAGCCCCCATCCATCCCCCCCCCTCCTCCCCCTTAACCCCCCCCCCCCTCCCCCTCTTCTCCCAGTCGTAAAAACGACGGCACCATGCGGGCCCACGCACGACGCACCGCACCTGTACCGCGTCGAGAGCGCCGAGCCTCGTGGAACTTTATGGTGGACTCGACCTTGGCGCACAGGCGGGGAGGAGACGCACGACGGCCTTTTGTTCCGCCGGGAATCCATCTCTCCCCCCCTCCCGATCGCTCTATGCATGAGATCGCGGAAAAATTGTGAATACCCTGGCTCCAATGAACCCAGATCACAATCGCACGTCCCCCGTGATTTTCCATCCCGCCTCTCCGCGCTTCACTGACATTTCCAGAAAAGGTCGTCAAAGGGAGAAGCGAAAATACCAACCAGGAGATTCGTGTTATTACCCTCTCAGACGCCAAAGTTAGCATAAAGCCTCGGGAAATTCCTCTAAATCCCATAGGGATCCCGCGGCAAAACGAATCCGTCGCGGGGGATGAACCGCACTAACGCCAGTACCTGCAGGCGAGCAATACCATCTCGAATGAGATCCTTGGATGATGGCTGTCACCGAGGTCATCGGCTTCTCCTTCTTCAGGAACCTGACGCCGGGCTGCAGCAGCATCTCGCTCGGGTTCCTCGGGCTCAACATGACAAGTCGTCCGCGGCGCGACGTCGCCTTCGCGATCTCCTCTCTCTCTCGACCTTTATGGTTCCTTTCTCGTCGTCCGGCCGGAAGGGATCACCAGGGGCGACGGAACGGTCCGAGCGGAACGAGACGATCTCATTCGCACACGCACGCTCGCACACACATACACGTGCCAAGGACTCGTCGAGGACTTTCACCGTGGAGGACACCGCGATACTGGCAATGGCACTCCTGACACAATTCCTATGGCCCGATTCCGCGCATGCGAACTCCCTCCGTCCCGCCCTACTTTCCAGCCCGGCCCCGGCCCCGGCGACGCGGATAGACGGCGCTCGAGACGGGAAGGCACCGGGATACGTCCACAACGATCCCCCGACGCACTCCACGAAATCAGGCCATCCAGACCCGGGACTCCCAAGAGTCGAACTGAACGCGCCGCTCCGTAGCACTCTTTGCCCCCCTCCCAGCCATCAATGGACCCTTCCCGTACACATACTCTTCCGTTGCTCGTTCCCTCTCACCTCTCCATTCACTCGTGATTTACAGAGGGAAGTGCCAAGCCATTTCTTTCGGCTTCCGTTCGCGCACTGCAATATCCCTCAACGAGGGCCATCCCTCGTGTCTCCCCCATCGTTTCCACTCGCGTTCCGGCTTTTAAACGTTCCGCACTTCCGCTACAACCATGACCTATTTTATTTCATCCCACCCTACTTTCAGGAATAGAGGTATTCTAAAGTAAGTCACAGATGTGACTAGCTTTATTTATTTAGTTCATCTGCGCGAATCCTTCGAAAAGTCTCGGAACTCACATATGGCCTTCTTTAGGGAGAAACCAGTTGGCGGGACAAATGAATCCATTATGCATGGAAGTACTTCTAGATGCTTCAGAAGCTGCTTGTTTGTTAATTTCTTTAGACTGATTCAGGACTCCATAGGAAATGCTTTTTAGTAGTAGGAGGTACACCAGACCCCCATAGATGCAAAAATGGTCAGTGAGAGGGCTCCATCAGCACCTTGGTTAGATTATTAGTTCAATAGTTTCTTGCTATTGGGAACATGTGAACAGTTTTCTATTGAAGGCAATATTCAGAACTAAAAAACACAACCCTAGAACAGTCACTTCAAGGCAATAACTTTTTTTTTTTAGTGCTAGCAGGACTGTCAGTAAAAGATAATGTAACAAATGTTGGCAAGGGGAATAACAAGAAATGTGTCTGGTTTCTCAAGTGATAAGACAAAATGCCTGAAATAAGCCATCAAGCACTGTTCCTAACATAACAGCTATACATGTTTAGCATGATGGACTTGACTGTTTTCTCCAGGTCTTTCTATACTCTCTGGGTGCAACATGGAGAATGGCAGAGGGGGGGGGGGGGTTGATTCTTCATGTGACATTGCATTTTCAAATTTTAAATTTTAATTCAAAAAGCAAATTTTAATTTTGCTTGGAATTAGCAGGATAAAGCAAAAATGTGCAGTCTTTATGATGGTCATCACTACTTAATTGTATTGCTTTATATTTTTATTGCAAACCTTGGGATCTCTAAGATATTTGTCATGTTCTTTGGGATGTCATACCTGTTGAAATCCATGCAAGAAAAATGGGTGTAGTCTCTTCTCAAAAATGTTCTTTGTGACATGACAGTGGAGTGAAGTGGGGTGGGGGGTAGCAGAATTGTACTCTGGTGGTAGGAGAGCCCATATTTCCCAAACAATGCTTTAATATAGCTTTCATATGAGTGCAAGACTGTAACTGCAAAAAAAGTGTTTTTAGGCTTATAAAAATTTTTTTTTCTCATCTGTTATAGTTCCTTCAACTGCTACTAATTCCAGAGCTTTTCTCACATCCTTCATAATCTCTTCTTCAGACTTTAACATTGCCAGTCCATGACTAGTGCTGCAGATGATGAAAATGGCCAGAGAAATATACATTAACAAGGCAGGAGGACATATTATTATTATTTTAATGAATTAAAAGCTTCATTGAGCCTTCTCAGTTCTGTAAACCTCTCAACAGTAGCCATTCTTATTTTTATATCAATAAAGACTGCATAGCAATCAGAATCTAGGCATACTCCTCCATGACAATTAAAGATTTTCACTCTGGCTATAACTCAAGCACCTCTTGAAACAGCTTGCATCATTCTCAGAGTTTACAGAATAATCTATTTCCTTTGTTTTATTTTTTCAGTTTTTTTTTTAGTGTTTTTACCTAAATAACTGATCAAGGCAACTGTGAATAGCATGAAACCTGCTATTGCTGAAAACGCATATAAGCCTAGACCAGACCTAAGAGTAAAATGGGTATTGGAGACTAAAGAACTTCTCCAGAAGCTTATTTTTTATCAAATAGATCCGATTCGATGTTGCGACTCTAACTTGAAACCATAGTTTGCAGGGTTCTGCTTCGCAGTTTTTTTCAGGCTCAAAATTTAGGCCTTGCTTATAGATGAGATAACGTATCCTGCAGAAATGTGGTAAACCAGCGGGGGAGAATAAGGACGAGATCAGGCTAAGGCCTAAATGGGTGAAATTGAAGCTCAACAAGGCTTAGGCTAATGTTGATAATAGGCCTTAGCCTAATGGTGGATTAATGATGAAAACAAATGTGAAACACTGTCCTTAAATCATCAAGCACTTTACTAAACACGTAAGAGGCAAGTGAACTCACCAGCACAGATGGTATTATGCAAAAGTCATATCTAATTCTGCCACGAGGGGAAATGGTGTCAGAGGCAGAACCCTCGGGGACGCCATTACACATTCAGTGACCAGCGCCGCAGCACCACAGGCAACGCAGAGAGGAAGATTGACCACCAGAGGGCAGGTGATATGCATGCGTGCATGGCATGGCCACCCCCGTTGGTCACGTGTGAGCTCTGGCCCCGCTTCTTTGGCCGATGACAGTCTGGAAGTTTCGCACTGGTCGTAGGCCTGGAGCCTACATCTGCTGTACTATTTCCATGACGCTCATCGATCGAAAGGAAGGAGATTCGAGGTCGGCCATTGCATGTTTTCGTCACATTTAATGCTTGCATGCATTAACTTGATCTCTAGTCTGACGGGAAACACCACTAGGGTTGCCACCTTTGAAATTAACAAATATGGACAAATATTCGAAATATACCCAAAGCCACCTTAAACCACGACGCCAATCGATACTATGAGTGTGGCCTATTGCTTTTGACATACGGAAAGTGACAATATTTGCTTTATTGCATAAAAAACAAGTCTAAAATATGGACAAAACAGTGTCTATATTAGGTGCAGTTTGCAGCATGGACATTGCGTCTGAAATCTGTACTGTCCATACTAATTATGAGCGGGTGGCATCCCTAAGCCAGACACCACTCTGAGACCTTGTGAATGAGTTGCTGTTTTCATGGTGGGACCAGTTGGAGATCTGTGACAGATTTTCCAATAGTCTGTCATAAGACCACTTTGATGGATGGCAGAAAGTACCCCTGCATCAAACTGAAAAATTAAAACCTTCTATTTTAGGCTGCATAAACCCACATTCAGACTTGTAATTCTATTTTCTTTGGTCTCAATTGCATGGACTTGCATTACTTTGTCTACAACAGACATGTCAGTGTCTCTGTGTAAACTGTATGAAGATTATGCAACTCACTGACACTAACAAGTATTTGTAGCAGAGACAGCTAAGGAAATGGGACTCAAGGAAGCAATTTATTTTGGTATTTTCACAATTGGGAACACAGTGCAGTGAAGGGTTAATATGAGAGCAGGGGGCCAAAATTATTCCAGTTGTGGTATGCAATAAGATGTCCTTTAATATGGCAGACTGCAGTTTTATTGATTTTCATGTATAGAGTCAGAAGGACTTTATTTATTGTGGTCATAATCACTCTTGAATAGCTGACAGGTTAATGTATCTATGTGACATTTAGTCACAGTTAAAAAAAAGGTCTTAAAGATGGTTCAGGCTTCCATGGTATTTATTCATGTCAATTTCATGCCCAAAGACTTGAGGCATATATGCTGGTTTTGTAGATGAATATTAGACACCATACCTTAGTGTATTGTTTCCTAGTGAAGGATTTTCCATTTGGGAAGCCCTTATCAAGTCATTTCTATTCTCATTTGCAGGTGGTGAAATCATGGACTTTTTTTGCTTGCTTTTTTTGGAAGTTCTGTGTAGTCCTTAAAATGCCATGCAGCAACCACCTCAGCCTGCGATGGCATGGAAAAAGGTGTATTCAGTTGGTGGCTGCTACTGTTGTATTCCTTGTGATTTGTGATCAACTTGGAGTGACTTTGCATATTGCTGAATTGGACTACCAGTCTGAATTCAGATATCCTCTTGAGGAAGATGTATCTAGTTCTGTGGAAAGTCTGAAGCTTGGCCTAGAACCAGATATTCATCCTATCAATCAGTACAATTATCCTTTCATTTCTGATGCAAGGAGGAAATGCCTAGATCTGAATGGGAATCTCCAGCCTTTACGTCTGGTGTACATTGTCAAATCGGCCCTGGATCATTTGGAAAGAAGAGCTGCCATCAGGTACACATGGGGCTTTGAAAAACGCTTCTCTGATGTTGATATTCGGAGAGTCTTCCTTGTTGGAAAAGGATCAGATGCAAAGGTTCAGCGTGGAATTGATGCAGAGAATGCAGAGCATGGAGACATTGTTCAAGCAGACTTTGCTGACACTTACTACAATAACACAATCAAAACAATGATGGGTGTGAAATGGGCAGCAAATTACTGTTCCAAAGCAATGTTTTATGCAATAGTGGATGATGATGTGTATATTTCGACTAAAAATCTTCTCAGGTTTTTGAAGCATCCCACAGCATACCCTCAGTACTGGAAAGAAGCTTTTTTTGCATCAGAACAACCTGCAGGCAAGAAAACAAATGTTGGGGTACAGAGATTGAAACAGGTGGAAAGTTTCCTCGATCAACAGTCTGGCAGCAGGAACAAATTATATGCAGGAAAAGTCATGCATAAGTCACCTCTTCGTCACAAATTTAGTACATGGTACATTTCTGTGGAGGAATATCCATTCTCTATGTGGCCTCCTTATGTCACTGGAGGAGCTACTATTTTATCAGGAGATACCATGATTGATTTTTATTACATGAGTCATTATGTCAAGCATTTTAGATTTGATGACATCTATCTTGCTCTTCTTGCCAAGAAACTTGGCATTACTCCTCTGGACAACCCAGAATTTCATATCTATCCTGATAAACCTTATGCATCTAATGACTATGAGTATGTCATTGCTGCCCATGGGTACTCGAACCCTCAGCTGTTGACAAAAGCATGGAATGAACAGAAGAGCTTGGGAAATGCTTGATACTTGATGATAATGAATTTGCTGGAGTGGAACTTGGCATAAATACCTGATTACTGATTAACTGTGCCTTCACACAGCAAGTCTACAAATACTGGGTGAAACTGGGTAGTTATTTCTACAATGTTCCCATGTGCTTTCAAAATACAACTTCAGATTTAATGTTTGCTGGCATTTACGTTTGTTACTATTCAATACCTAGTGCTATTCCAGGAGGGGGTGATATGCATTTTCATGCTGACGGTGGGGCATGGGAGCATTGAGCGTCTTTCTCATTCTCTGGTCCATCAGAGTCCTCATTGTCATTGCATTCTGTACCAGTCTTTCATATCACTTGTCAAGATTGTGCCATGCACATGTCCGATTGTGTTCATGTTGTTTTGTTGTTCAGCCTTATTGTGCTTGATGAGAGGGTAGGGACTTCACAATGATGCAACTTTTATCTTTTACCTTCTCAAGCTAACTTGTGCTTTGGGGTAAGTTCAAAGTAGATGTGTTCATGTCCTCCCATCTTAGCCTGTATTAATCCCTTGAGCTGGGACTTTTTGGCTGTGATGAAAATGGAACTGCAGTTATTCAATGAGTGAGGATTTAAGTTCCATGCATATGTCTCCAAGAGAAGTTGTACTTTTTGTGAACCATGCTGTTTTCCCTCAGTGGATGCACTCACATTCCAAGTGATCACTTTTTCTGTGCTCCACTGAAATAGCAAGTGCACTTCTGGTAAGCCATGGCTTCTCTGACTTGGATTGTGAATTCACTCAATTATCAGGCTTGCTCCTTTCCAGAATGCATCTTTTTCATCTGAATTTAAACTTATGTTGCATCAAATTAACCCTTGAGTGAACCTGAAAATTGGTTTGGTCAATTTTAACTTTCCACATCATGTTATTTTCAGGCTGATTTTCAGTGGCAGGTACACAAGACAAATGACAACCTCTTTTACCCATAGGTTTTATTTGATGATAAAAAAGTTTCAAAGAAAAGTGGAGGGTGTATTTTGAGGAAGCAATGCTTGAAACTGTGATGATCATTATTTATGCTGGGTAATTTTCCTGTTGCCATTAGCATGTATATGGAGGGGTTACAGATTATACATGCAACAGAATGACAATCAATCAAAAATAGTCTCATTGTAGTTTTGTTCCTGGGAACACATAAGTTCTTTGAGTTTGAATGTTGTCCCTGTTATAGGTTCAATATAAGAACTATTAATCTCCAGCAAAGTTTAAGTGTTTCAGACACTATTTCACCTTTCTTGTGTCAACAGTAGCATTGTTTCACAGACCTGCAGACATTTTGCACCATAAATTTCGTCATTTCAGATTGAGTATTATTCTGTTCCATTGAATTCTCTCATTCTGCTCCACTAGGATCAGGTTATTTTATTCTGGCTTGCTCCAGCTCTGCAATTAGGGCAATGATATTTTGTTATACCTTGAACATGAAGTAAAATGCCCTGTCAGTCTCTGTAATTCAGCCTAAATCTTTTGGTTCTTAAGGGCATTTCACACCTTGCGTATCATGTGTTGTTAGCATCAATATTCATGCTGGTAAGCAGATGCATGCATGCACACATATCCATTTACATCTGAGGGTTTTCACAAAACAAGGCTAGCATGTAGAAATGGGATAAGTTCAATTGAATATGCAAGCTATTTGTGAAAGCTCTCAGATGCAAGTGGTCATGCATGTGCATGCTAAGTATGAAATGCCCTTTACACGATAAAGCTCATGTCACACCTGCTTCTCATGCATTCCTTGATAATAAAGAATCTCATTTACTGTGATCCCCTTGAACTTTGACCAAATATCAATTCTGAATCTTGTCACTGAGATGGATATTCTTATCATGCATAGACTGATATGGGAATGAGAATTGATTAAAATTCATCATAATTTGTGTGCTTCCAAGGGTTTATTACTCTTTCCTCATTGAAAAATGACAACAATCAAAATAGTGAATATCACTCATCTCTCAATTCACCCTTAATTAAATATCAACAATCTCTGACCGAAAATATTTTCATGGGAGAACCCAAGTAATTATTGAGACAGGGAATCTGACCAGTCCATGCAGGACATACAATTAAAAAAATATTGAGCTATATGAATTCAATCATCACTATTATGCTTTCTCCAAGAGATTTAAAAGCTGGCTCTGAGAATCAAGGAGGGTGGCTTTGTCTGCAGTGCTGGATGTTTCACTAATAATTTGGTTATGAGAATCAAGGAGGTTGGCTTTGTCCACAGTGCTGGATATTGGACGATTACTGCTGAGGAGCAGCTCTGGTCCTCCACCATAGATCCCACGAAGAAACTGCCAGATATCCTCCGAGAACTGGGCGTAATGGGAGTCTGCAATACAGGTCAATGATATGTCAAACTCAACCCATGTTGACTAAGAACTACTGATTTTTCTAATTCCTTACTTGGCTTGAGGGAGAAAGTGCCATTCTTGTTCACTGCAATGGGAGAATTGTCTATTGGTCCTGGAGGTTCAGGTTCCTTTCCCAAAACAAATGCTCGCCACTGATTGAACCATGTCATTGAAACAGCAAAAATCCCTCCCTCATGCTCCCCATTCTGAAACAAGGAAGATCCACTAAAGTCTACTCCAGGGGTACATCTGACTGCACACTGACATAATTCACCCTTAAACATTCTTTCAACTTTTTAAATAGGTCAAACTGGAAAGTCACCATCTTTAAACTTTATTATATAAGAACAAGAAATTCAGGGATAAGCAACTACCAAACTGCTTGTCAAATCTGACAAATTCAAGAATTCTCATGTAGTTAGTTAATTTCACCTGTTGTCAGGCTGAAATACTAGGTTGAGGAAAAAGTTCGTGCGCCGTATTAAAATAATGATTTTTTATATTTTTTTGTGTTTTTGATGTGGTTTCGTGGCTATTATGAAATTTTATTGATTTTTTAAGATGTCTGATTACGAAATCACACATTTTGAGCTTCGCGTGCTTGCAAGTCTCCTTCGTCCAGAACTGTTGGTTGTCCGGAACGTGGCCTGTCTTCAAGATCCAAATCGCCTTCATTGAAACGCTTGAACCATTTCTGTGCAGTTCGCGGTGCCACCGTACCTTCACCTTCAATGTCGCAAATTGCTTTGGCAGCTGCTCTTGCATCCAAATTCTTTCTCCAATAATGACGCAGCAATACACGAAGCTCAAAATTTGTGATTTCATAATCAGAAATCTAAAAAAAATCAATAAAATTTCATAATAGCCATGAAACCAGATCAAAAACACAAAAAATATAAAAAATCATTATTTTAATACGGCGCATGAACTTTTTCCTCAACCTAGTAATTCAAAGACACCAGCATTTGGGAAGAACTTAAATATGTGTAATTCAGATGAGAAGGATGCGGTAACTTGTGATTACTTGTGGTAAGCTGTGCTATGCATATGCTTGGGACATACTGTCACCCAAGAACATATCCAAGTTTTTCAATTTAGACTAAACTCTCTACGCAAAGACTTTCATCCACCATCTCATGCATTCCTGTTACTGAGGAAGTTCCCAAAAATTATTCCCACAACCCAGCCATTTTTCTAAGTAATCCTACACTTTTAGTCCAATGTGCCACCAGTTTGCACCACTTCAAGATAAGCAATTACCAGTAAGATATGGACAGGTAGGGTTTTTGAAGATGGTGGAAGTTGAGTCTGTTGTGTTTTATCTTTCATTAATCTAAAGCTTTTCATATATTTGGGGCCTCAAATCAGATATATTTGGAAAATTTGACTGATGATCAAGAGAATAATTATGCAAGTTTTGGCTTACATATTAGATATTCTCTTCAACTTGATTATTTAGAGAGAAGGTCCTCAAAGGATGAAGAGGTTAAAAATGTCAAGTGGTTCCATTATGATGAATTGAAGTAATTTTTTTTTAATGCACAATGTTCCTTCTTCAACTATAAAGAGGCAGTCCATGAAATTATATAAACCAATGGCAAGGAGAAAACTATTGCATGGATTTTTCCATTCAGAAGTATTGGAGAATGGAATGGATTGTAATGTGACACTATAAGAATTGTTACCATAAAAGAGGAATTACAAAATGACTACTCACCCTGTATTGCAAAAATGCATACTTAGTCACACAGTTAGCAGTTTGGTGACACTATGTGGTAACTATATTTTCTGCAGTGGAAATCTGGGACAAATCTTAACTTGCTCTCATCACCAAGTCAAACTTGAGTTCAATTCTGTCCAGATACTGATAGCTCTTGTTTTAGCAGGTTAGAGAGGAAAGTGAATGTGAGAAGTGACAAAGATGTCTGAGGGCGGAAGCTTTCCTCGGAAGGCAGAAAGAGAACAGTGTTGGTCAGCAAGGGACATATACTGGAAATGCCTTGATGAAAACCAGGAGGATGGGACCAAATGTGCAGACATGAGAAAAGGATATGAAAGTTTGTGCCCAAGCCAGTGGGTTGTACATTTTGACCGTCGACGTCGATTCCTCAAGCTCAAGGAGAAGATGGAAACAGAGGGTTATGATCCAATAGATGAGAAAAAACAATAACACTTTGTCCAATATTAGTGCTGTGTGTAATGGAATTTATAAATGAAAGTGCTTCAATGATGAAAAACAGGAGCCTTTAAGGCTCCTGTTTTTTTATCGGAGTACTAATCCAAAACTATGAAGGACTTCAAGTCTCATGGATTCCAGAAAGGAATGTCCCAAAGTGATGTTATTTCAAGTCATTATGCATAGTATGCAAATAAACCGAAATGAACAGTTCAAAAGGTGTGGTAGTGTTTGTAATCTAAGGGAGGAGAGAAAGGAAGGCTTGAGAAGGAGTAAAGGAAAAGTCTGGATGTTACACCTAGAAAGTGTCAGTTAGTTCTCATATTAACAGGATAAGGAAGCTTTCAAGGGAAAGTCGTCATGGGGCAACAGTTTAGGGTAGCTTATTGCATACAACTTTAATGGATGCAAAAAAATATGCTGAGGCTGTCTGTGACAGGCAAGCATCCCCTTCCTACTTCCATCTATTGTCTCAAGTGCATGTGTTGAACTTTTCCTCTTAAACAGGTGGCCTAGAGTGATATCCAAATGAATAGATGAAAAGATCAAGTGACTATGACCTGGCTGCAAGTTTTTCAACTCCTGGCTTACAAAAATTAATGTCTCAAAACATGCAGTCTAAGCAAAGAACTCACCATGAATTCTCTATGGAGATGCTCATACTGCTGCACCTCATTAGATTGCCGTTGAGCTAGTCTCTGCTGCTCTTGTCGACACGTCACACATTCCACCAGGTAGTTGCAAGCTGGGCCACCCCCAAAGCTGCAGGAATAATTGAAATCATCAGAATCTTGGACATATAGTCTCTTCTTTAAATGAAGGACACTCTAGGTCTGCAAAATCTATTAAGAACTGACCATTGTCACACTGACTGGAAGAGAATGAGGTATGATCAAGTGTTGCAGGGGATCCCAAAGTTATAGAACCGCCTTCATGGTGAAGTACCATCAATACAGAGAACCTATTGATCTCACCATTCATGAAGGTAATCCCATACTCCCTGATGTACCTTGACCACCAAATTCTTGACATGATCCATTTTCTGAGGCCAAACTCTGTCGTGTGGGCACACAATATCAGAGTTGTCAATTGGACCAGGTTCAGAAAATGTGTGGAACCTGTACAAACCATCAACATGGAGTCTAGCATATGCCACTCATCTTAATACTGACAAATATGCCACAAATCTGAACAAACCTATTCAGCCATCGTCTAGAAATGTAAAAAGGCAGAAGGTTGGGCTCCACCATATTATCCTCAATCCTCCTCACCTCATCTCTTTGCCTCAGGATCTTCTCATTGTATTTCCTTTGAAACATTTTATGATCACACAGGAATCCAAGGGTAATGACTCCTAGCCTATTTTCTTTAGAGCATTGGGATAACTAGTAGGGCTCACTTGTAGAAAAGGACATAAGCTTCACATTTCCTGACAACATCAGGCGAGACCCGAGTGACACACTGATCATCGTATTCGTACCACTGGTTGTTCAGAGGATTCAGGCAGTAGGCAGTGTAATGGCCCCCTCCAACCCCACCATGATGGCAAATTACAGCAAAGAGATCATACTTCATGACTTGTGAAGCACAGTCTACGAGAAAACCAAACATCAATGATGCAAGAAACATCTTTGGCAATAAGTGAACCAGAACATCCACTTACTACTTACCTTTATGGATATAAGTAGACATGTCCAAGTCTTTAAGTGGGAAAGAGACATGATTCCCAATTTTGGACGAGAACATGAATTCATGCCGAAAGCGTTTCAAATGAATGCCCAGGACTTCGGGCAGTTCCAGAACTCGGCTGTACTTGATGCCATTCCTGAGCTTCTTGCATTTCTCACAGCTGGTGGAAGGGGGGATGATGGAGTCATTGAAAAAAATGACTGAAACTGTTGTAAGCTGTTCACTCTTACCTGTACATGTTATCACCCTTGAGCTCATCTGCTGAGAAGAATGCTCCAAGGCAATCGTGCAAATCAACTGAGGGCCCCCAGAACCAAGACAGGAGCCAACTCCACATGTATGAAAGCCATCCCTAGTCGGGAAGTATTCGGAAATCTCTTTTACACTTTTTATATCCTTTTTGCTAGCCACCAACAGAAGAAATTTCAACTGATATACCTGCTGTTGATACATATCAGGGCAAGAACTGAAGTGAGCCTTGAGGGGGGTTCCTTGATGAAGAATTTGGATAAACTCTCGACTAGGAATGGGTAAGGATAGATCTTGGAATGTCTCCTTTGTAGAAGAAACCTAGAAAAAAGAAGATATATGAACCTGTAGGATGTAACCACAATTTTATATTAAGATTAAATGGTTGAGTTTTTGAGACTATCAATGGCAAGAGAAATTGTTGTAAAAATATTTTCTTGCTCACATTAGCATCACACATTCTCTCATTCATTGCTTGGCTGAGATGAACTAACATTCTGGCATTATTACACATTGCATTATAACACACCTGCTAAAATGTATCACTGCTGACTTCCACTTATATAACAAACAATGAGGTTTGGAACTAACCCGTGAACAAGTGTTGCATTGGACAGTACTCAGGATTTTGCCATCAAAGATGTCTGAGATTATGCTTCTGTAGCTTTGTCCATTCTTGCCTTGATGACAACTACCAGAACTGTTCTTCTCAGCAGGGGAGGAACTTCGTGAGGTAGGGAGGTGTAATACAGGATTTCGCATCCTTGACAGATGATTGACAGGAAAGCTAAAGACAATGCAACGTTTGAAGAAGCAATGTTGTGAGAGACAGTCTTAGGGCTACCTAACATCTGGTGGTATTAAGTCTGAGGACTTCACTGGAAAGAAGCATAATGAAATGAGACTCCTGCTGAAGAGTTCATCATTGTCATGGAATAAAAATTGTCTGCATTTCCTCTTTTGTTTTTGGCAAGGTTTATTTTAGGTTTTATAGCTTCTTGAACACCCTGGAACTTCCAAATACCATATTCCTGAAAATCGTTTGCACATAAATATTTTTGGTTTTTTGAGGGGCAGGCAAATCCAAAAATCTTCTAACATGAAATTTTCTCATGACTTATGTTTTTAATTTTGAAGAACTTGAAAAAATATTAGCAGTTGCATTATAAAAGAAACACCTAAAGATACCAAGTCAAAGTCAAGAGGTACCCATGGTCATTTCAATCACCTCACAACGCTTTTTATAATTTCCTCACTAGTCAAGTTGTGCCCCATTTGTTACTTTTCATTTTATTGCACACAAAGACATTTCAGCTAAATTCATTTTCCAGCTAAAACCATATTTTTTCAATAGAGGAGTTGAGAGCACATTGAAAATAATAATTTGCAAGAATTCTCATCCACAAACATATCATGAATACTTTTGGTCATGAATTCTTTTCTGGGTTACTGTATCTGGAGCTCATAGAGAAATCTATAGGCCCACCTATCTGAAGCATCAGAGAATTCCATGGCATCTACATCTCCCTGAGGCACTTCATCTTCTTCTACATCCATCGACTGCTGTTTCTTATGGCGACTGATCCTGAAAAGACATACAAAACATACTTTCTTCCAAATTGGAACACAAGTGATAAATTTATTGCCATAAACTTCTTTTCCTGTTGGTAAATCCATTTTTAGGGCTGTAAGAAAATTGGAAAACTGAACATTACCTGAAAATACAAAACATTGGACAATTGGCTCCACTCTTTCAATGGATACTCCTATAGTAGCCTACTTTTGTTACAGTGATGATGCTCCTATAACTAAAGTAAATATGGTGAGCACTGATTTCTCATAATTTCCCTTGAAAGCATCAATTGATTGGGCAATCTAGAAATACCAAGGTACTATGTTCATGCACTAGGAGGCAGATTTGATTGCATTTGCTAACATAAGATGAAAAATAATAATTAGCACATACTTGGCACAGACATGAAAATATAGATGGATTGTTACTGTCTTCTGGTTTAGCCCTCCAGCTTGATTTTCAGCAACTCAGTCCTTTTCTGTCCCATTCCCACAAGCCAATTATATATTTTTTTTATTCCTAGAGTAATAATAATCAGTTCTTTCAAGTTTGGGCATTTCATCAAGAAGAGCCACAATGAAGTGTCTTATCTTATGAAAGCAAACTAATGTTCTGCATCAAACATTCTAGCCTGCATGCATCTGCACTAGTGTGTGATTATGCATGCTACAACTAATTTGCCAACTTTGCAAGGAAAATGTCAACCTTAGAGCTATATATAAGTATTGGCTTCAGCCAGGATATAAAAAATACCAGGGCTGTCATTTCAATTAATGTAGTTGACCAATTAATCGATAAAAATATTAATAGTGATTAAATATTAATAAATATTAGTTGAATTTTAATCGACCCCCTGATCTTCCCCTGAATGTCTTTTTTCCCAATTATAATTTTATAATATTATAATATAGGAATCGATTAATTGATCAATTAAATTAATCTAATTAACAAGCCCTAAAAAATACTAAATGTAAAGATTTCTCAGATTTCAAATGATTTATTTTTGCCTTTTTTGCTTGAACATGAGAAGAATAATTCTCTGACAAGAATAATTTTAAAATCATTTAAAATAATTAAAATAATTTTAGAATCTGACAAGAATAATTAAAAAATAATCATTTGTATTTCAATTGCTGTTATACCATTGCATATTGTAATATTTCCAACGTAACATCTAGGCGATAAAAATTGGGAAGATTATCGCAAAGACTTATGCTAGAATTTTCTGATGAAATCTTAGGAATTTTCAAGGCCTAGCCGAACAACTTCAAATTTAATTTCCTCTCTCTCACCATGATAACCTTTTCCCAATACTTTCAAGCAAGGTGATTGAAATAGATTTTGAATAGCAATTCAAAATCTGTTCCAAACCATCCCACTTCACAACATCACATGCTTTTCCCTTACTGGCCTGAAGATTAGTTTCATGAAAATGATATCTTTTATGCACTAATTTCGGACACCACGCACATCTGGAGCTTTTCGTGTTTTTACTAGGTTGGCCAAAAAGTTCTGCAACACTTGCGAAAAAGTTGATTTTTATGCACATTTTTATTAATTTTTTGTGCATTTTATGCACAATTTTTTTTGTTTTTGTGTTTATCGTGTTCCAGGTTCATCTTTATCCTCAAAGTTTCAGATGGTGTGGTCACCAATTTGAGTCATTTGATAAAGTTGAGGAAGCGTGCCAGGAGTTCTTCGATTCGAAGCTGGCAGAATGGTACTTCAATCAAATCCGGATGCTTGCAGATCGGTGGCAAAAGATTGTTGAAAACGATGGCCTTTATTTTGAAGAGTAGTTGTTATTGTTTTTAAATAAATTTGCGCATAAAAATCAACTTTTTCGCAAGTGTTGCAGAACTTTTTGGCCAACCTAATAGAAGTTGTTATGTGGTAGGGAATTGAGTGCTGCTGCGCTTGGATGCCTTGATTGACTGCCATCAACAATTGTTTGTCCATTTAAAAACCTTTCTATCCTTTCATACAGTTTTCGCTGTTATATACTTCTCACCATACCGAGCTAACATTCGTTAGTGAATATCTGCTGGTTCAACACCTTTTGCCCACAAAAACAGATTGCTGCTTCCTTGATGCACACAGAGTGCATACTCACCATGTTGATTTTGGGTCCACTAATGCCACTAGTGACATTTGCTTCAACTAAAGTGCGCATTCTGAATAAAATTTAAGTCTTTACACATATAATGCAGTTTGCAAGGTATAGTCCAACATAGACAGGAATTGCCAATACTTTTTTAAATATCCTCATATATTATGAATATGGTGATGATTTCCATTTAGAGGATTTTTTAATGGCTATATTTGCTGTCACCTTTGCTTTTGGGTTCTTGGCTGAGGAGAATTTGTTGATGAGAGATCATCACTGACTCCTGAATCACAAGTTTCATACCCTTCCTCAGATGGAGCAGTATCAGAATCATCTTGCACCATATGATCACCTCCACCTGTGAAGTTAAAGGTCGTTTAGCAGGAGACAGTTTGAAAATCATGGTCAGTTATTTTGTCTCTTTTCAAGTAAGGTCACTCCATATTTATGCATTGAGGAAATTATTGCAAACTGGTGGATTGCAGTCAGGTGAGGTCAAGGTGAGGAGGGAACATGGAGACAATTTTTTTTTTCCACATGTGCATCGATCCATTTGTCTAGATTTATCAGCAAAAAAAAAATTTATTTGTCTTAAAAAGAAAATTAAATTCAAATCTGTTGATTGTATTTTCCATTTGATGCAGTGATATTTCACATTGCTTGAAAGATTAGGGTGCAACATGAGAGTGTTTTGCAGACCCAGTCACCACTTCTTAAGGTAGTAGGACAATACATTATTCTCAACCAGGGAGAACCCTAACATGCAAGAAATATAAAACCTCCACACCATCACAGCAAACTATCTCTGACACCAGATTTCAAGAAGAATATTCAAGCAAGTGGTGAGGTAAATTATGCTGGATATAGGGGAGGAATGGTCTCAGAATCACCCACTTCTTATGCATTAACCCATGACTTTTTATGACACTGTACCAAATGCACACTTCAACTCAAGTCCCTGATCACCAGAACATATTTTGACTCTTCAACTACAAGCTGGCCAAGGGAGATATTACCTTATTGAACATATAGATATTATACTCTTTGTAACAAAAAAATTTAAACTAGGCACTTGCAACTTGCTCTATCAAGCTAACTCCCCTTAGACATTCACTTCCTTTTGTTAATCTTTGCTTTCTGCACTTGGTATCCTTGAATCACAACTACTTGTATAGATAGAGCTGCTCTCCTATGGAAAACTAGGGCAAGGGGAACACTTCTCATTGTGAAATATGATGATCCTGGTTGGAGGCTGCTTTGATTCACATAAACCAAGAGTGGATGTCACAAATGCAAGTACTGTATGTGTGTATACATGATAAATATACAGGGTGTCCTAAAAGTCACTTTACCAAGATTATACTCACATTCCAGGGAAAATCTACTTAATTTACAACCAACCACCAGCAGAAAGTGACAATGAGAAGCTACAGAAATTGTTCAAATTGTTGTCCATCTGGTGCTAGTGTAGCCACAGTGTTATCACCTGTTGTAAATAAAAATCTGAATGCAAGTGAAAATAATCACAGGTGAACACTTCACTGTCTCGGTAAAGCAACTTTTAGGACACCCTGCATAAGGGTGGTCCAAAAGTAATGGAAAAGGATCTCCTATACAACATGATTTGACACAGCAAAGCTGCCTTCAGTTAATGATTATAAATTTCCACACTGGCTGTGACTTTTGTGCCTTGAGGTAATAAAATATTATGCATTGTATGTATGTTGGACATTGTAGAGCAACATGCAACATGTACATATTTCCTGCAAAAGGGGAAAGAGACAGCAGCTAATGCATTAAGATGGTTATGGCTCTATGATCATGCATGCAAGAGCAAGACATGAGAGTTTACACAAGATATAGGTGATTCCAGGATGGCAGAACAGGTGTGGGAAGCAATTATTATTTGGGGTGTGATTTAGGGGGCAGTACCTGCTACTAAATAACAAGCATCATAAAGCTTGATAAAGCAGAGCCGTAAGCAGAGACAGACACGAAAACATGACCTCATGGTCTATGTAAGCATGCTATTGACAACCTCTGCATGATCACCAGCAATAAGTAAACTTGGTGAACACTATTTAATCTCATATAAGAACATAAAGAGGCATGCATGGAGATCTGCCAATATTATTTTGATGATGAGTGGGATGGTTTTTAGTTAAAAAAAAAAAAAGACAAATCATTATAAGAGCTGAGCATGGGCTGTCCTGTTAGAGCCAGGTGGCGAAGGTCAAAACACAGGATGGGAGGCATTTTACATCTCCAAGGGTCAAGAAGTTTTAGGTGACTATTTCCCAATAGAATGGTATGATGACAGTCTTATGAGTTGCTGCAGCCTAGCCAATTTTGAGTTTCTGTCTCACTATTGAAGTTTCCATCACTCAAAACACACCCATTAATGCAAACTTCTGCAATGCCACATTAACCCATTGGAATGCCACATAAAATGACATTTTTCCAAGTTGAAACACCATTTAATAACTTGACACACTCAGCTAAAGATCCCATATCATAATGAACAACCTTACATTTTTCTTTAACACTTATATTGCACACACTTTTATATTTCTGGTTTTTACTTATGTAGGTCACTTCCCATGTTCATTGTCGATAGAATAATAATGTCAATGTAAGCATTAGCCCAGTGAATCACCAACTGCATATGCAAATTAGTTTAGGAAGCTGAAAGCTTCCCAAACTCATTTGCATACAAACTCCTAAGCTGACCAAACACAAGCATTCAGGGTTGCACAATGACTTATGCAGCATCTAAAAAATAAAAGAATGCCAGTATATACACCAATACCCCATTTTGCATTGGGGTTAGGTCACTGGAAAACATGACCCAAATCAATTCAAATTGAATTGATGCAAAATGGGGTGTTGGAGTATTTCAGAATATCTCCACTCAATTTTCTGCATGCCTAATGCTTTCCATTACTTTTGACCACCTCTTGTATACCAATGTGCATGCATATCTCTGTGTCCCTTGTGTCACATAATAATCTCAGATGCAAACAGCTGCTAATTGACTTGTAATAGAGTCCCAAAAAGCCTGTCTTTTAAACCACTCCTCCATCTCTTCATCTCAAATATTGACTTTATTCAGAAAATGAGCTAGCATCAATACTTTGTGCCAAAACAAAAGGATGCGAAGGAAAGTAAATTGCATAAATATTTTTAAAATAGGATAGATATAAGACTTCTTGAATTCCTCCTACACCATCATCATCTTGCATACTATGTAAATTTGCAATAAATGTATGCACCATCATCCTCAAACAAAAGTTTCATGCAAGGGGCTGCAAATACTACGGAAGCCAAAAATCTGACCAGCAGGGCACTTACCCATTCTGCCATTATCAGCATGAAAGAGGACCCTTTCTTTCAAATCTTCATGTAGGTGATCCATAAAGCAACGGAGAAATTCCTGAGTATCTTGTTGCTGAAAGCCTCGAAAGGCAGGGATAGCCTATAGGATATTTAAAAAGAACTAAGATAGTAAAACTTTCCATTCAATAAATGCATTAAAATTACCTCTATATTTGCATTGGATTGTATCAGAGTACATTGATACTGTGCAATATATGTTCCAAGTGTCCATCCCAATGTCACCTTACTTCAGAAATGAAATTTTCCACAACTAAAATTCCAAACTTCTATGGATACAAGCACCAAAGATCTTATCCTAGCAGCCTCTGCAAGAGATACATATTGTTTAATGTCTTAAAAAGTCACAGAGAAAATTTTCACTGAATCCTCCTTAAAGAATTTTTCTTCCACGATTTCCTGTCTGGATTATAGCATGCAATATTATGTGAGGTGCATTAAAAAGTAGTGACTGCTGAGGCAACAGCTCTTCCATCACCACAAGAACAACACTGCAATGCTGGGTGCTATATTAGTCATGTTTCTTCCAAATCTATATGAAATTTTGGTCTTGTATCTTATGTCATAATTTTCCCCAGACTTTGCAGTTGATTGAATCAACTGATGAACAACAAAGGGAAAGCCGTTCAATTTTTTGTCGATATAGAAGATAATGTTGCTAACATTCAGATGCATTTGGAAGAAGTTTTGGAGGTGATGATAAGTGTGATGGATAAAATATGCAATGCCTGCTCCTTGTTCCACTTAAAAAAATTTAGTTACATTTAGTTGGTCGTTTCAATCAATTATACATGAAAAGTTTGGGGGAAAAAATTAATGACATTATATATAAAACTGAAATTTTACAGATACCACTCAGCTTTACTCTCTCACTCACTTTACCCTCACACACTAAGCTTTGTTGTTCCTGTACTGATGAAGATGTGCAGCACTGATTTTACTTCTTTAGTTATCTTGTAGCCACCTTCTTTTCTGAATAATGGCAAATATTTTACTTTAAAAATTTATTTGGTGCTTAAGTCATAACCCATGAGTGATGGATCAAAAACTCATAAGAGGCAGTGAGCTTGAAGTCACAATTGGGGACTTTCATGAAGGCTAAATGGATAAAATGTATGGCTGACTAATTGACCTCACAAGATGACCATGAATGTTAGGATCTCAGAGACATGGCAATGATTGAAAGTGTCAAGCAATCATGACCTAATCCTGGACTGTTTGTCAGTTCTGGATAGCTAGATATTCCAACAGACTTCCAAAGAACTCAATAACTATTAGGGTACAATGAAATCACTGAAAGAACGAAATAACCCTTCTGAAACACTATGAATGATAAAGTGACCATATAGGGCATGGCATTTTTGGATCTCGTGTGAAAGAGGGAATAAATGGAAATAATTTTTCAACATACCAGACGAACACTGCGCCACATTTCAGAAGGTGACACACAAGCTGGTGGTTGCTGACCACCCCAGATGGCATGGACAAGTTTACGATAATCTTGAGAAGGCATTGTCTTTCTTTCATGTCTGCTTGTCGGAGGATTATACAGAAAGTAGGAGGTGAGGGGAATAGTATTGGATAATGCTTGTATGGCTGCATTCATATAACAAGTCACACCAAAATTCTGCAGTCCTGTCAACCCTGAAAATAAGTATGCAACATTATCAGCAAGTGCTTTATACCTTTCAGTCCAGGCAGGACTCAAGAGTCCAGCATTTTCTTTGCAAATGTCATGGGGCTACATAGAATGCATGATTTTGAGGCCATGGCAGGATTCTGAGTCCCTGTTTATAGTAGTAAAGAAATACTGGAAAACACATGACATAAGTGGGGATATGAGTATTAGCTGAACTAATTAATTACCATGACTTTACTAATTTATTTAAATAATTGAAATGAATGAATATTTAATTTTACTTGAGGAAACCATTTTAAAAGAAACTTTATGTTACATAAGCTTGTTGAAGCCCAAATAGTAAATGACATTTTCCCCATGCCAAGAACATAATTCAGGACTGAAAGGGTTATACAGCAAAATGAATCAATGGAAGAAAATCAGACCTCGAACTTGACCATCAACTGAGCCAAAATCATCTTCCTCATTTTCATTCATGTCAAAGTCTTCATCTCCATCTCCAGAGGATCGTCTGTAGCTACTAGAGTAAAAGATGTTGTCTGTGACTGTTTCCATGACCCCTCCCAATGGTGGTTTGTTGTTGTCCAGGAAAACCTCTTTGTCACAAGAATGACACCACACTCGTCCTGTTGTTACATTCATCTGTAAACTATGGTCTTTCCTCTCCTGCACGTGGAAAAAAATCTCAATAGAGACCCTGTCAAATCTCTGTGAATGCTGGAAGCAGGGACTGTCACATACCTGAAAATGTGAAGTGCTATGTTCAGCCCCCTTGATGCCACAACCATACATGGAGCAGTGCTCATGTAGGCACACCCATAAACCTGCTTTGAAGCCACATATGTCACAGCTTTCTGCATTCTGTATTGTGGGAAGAACAATCACTTTCTCAGTCCAGACTCAAGGTCAAAATGTTTGTCCTCCAACACTTCTGACAGCATCAAATGGAGACTGCAAATATTCATTCCTTAATGTTTAAAGCAGCAGCTCTTACATTTTTTTACACTAATTGAATTGTAAATACTAGCTTGATTCTAGTGAGGAATTATTGGAAGCTCACCTTTCGTTGTTCCTCCACATCATCAAGAGTAGCATCACCTAAGATAAATATGTGAGGACAGGTGCTTGTGGCAGGCATCTTGTATGCTTTTAAGTCACCAAGTAATTTCTTTCAAGAAAATCAACATCATGATGAAATCTAGCAGGAATGTAAGATAAAATTTTCATTTTTAGAAGATAATGGCAAAAAAGCAATAAACTTAATCAGTAGAATGATTCATGTTAGCATGACCTATTCCTACATTTTCAAATCCCCCAAGAGGAGGACACAAGAGCAGAATGATCTTTGGACTTTTCTCTGTCCCAGATGAATCCTCAAATTTCATTATATGGGAAATATGGACACACAGGGAGGCATGAATGACTTTCCAGTAATCTTGGTCAATCAAAAGCAATACATCAGTATTTATCTATTTTCTTCAATACACATTGTATTGTGTCCTTTCCAAAGATTATCTTTCAAATTTACATCTGCAATCAAGTTGCTCAAATGCAATTTGACATTTATTTTAATAAAGACTATATCATCCAAACTTCTTTGTTCATTAATGTGGAGTCAACTGATAATTCTGATGTGGCTTGTCTCATAAAACCCATGAGAAACTCTGGAAGGAGCATACCACACATGCTCCTCTGAGACATATTTCCCTTTGCATGTCAAACTTCTTCACCATCTGAATATGACACCCAAAAACTCTGTCCAGGAAAGAGTTCCCTATGCTGATATTCAACATACCATGAAGGATGGGGTAAAATTGGGAGAGCTCAATTAATTTTTATTTTATTTTCAGAAAGCCCCCCAAAAAAGTACTGACAAAGTAGGTAAAAGAAATGATCATCAGGTTTCCCATAAGTAAAAAAATAAGTATAAGATCTGGGCTGATTAAGAAAAAAAGAATGAACTCCATGAAGGTAAAAAATAAAAAAGGTAACCAGTATCATATGATAGTTGAATTCCAGTAAACACCATGAAGCTGTGAAACCCTATGGAACTTCATCCAATGAAATCTAGGCCTCAACATCTGAATATCATTTATTGAAGATGAATGGCTCCTAGAGATTTAGACTCTTGGACCATCACTCATGACTGAAACAAGCTTGAATTTAAGAAATTAGTTTTGGTATCTAAAAAGGAAGCAACTAGAGTGAGTCACCTGCTACAAGTATATATTGATGTAATTATAACTTTATTGCTGGCTCTAGACTCAAGCAAGCTCGGCTTGCAGCAGCAAGAAACTATCACAAAGAAATGTGGTGGTCAAGAGGAAGAAAGTCCACTTTAGTTCAATAACAGTAATCACTTGTAGATTCCATACCAAAGCCAATGAAATATCTACGGCCTAAAAATGGTGCTGGTCTAAAAAAAAAAAAGTGCATGGCACATTGTATCATTTCACTTGAAAGTTAGCAGAATGCAGCATAACCTTATACATGTAAACCCACAGAACATTTTTACAGAATTCCTTACATTCACACATGAATTCGTGAACTTCTGCACAACTATTATTTGGATATCAATATCTGTTCTGATGAGAAGAAAGTTGGAATGAGAAACAGTCATATGACTTAGAGAGAGAACATTAACAAGAAGAATGATATGACTCTCAAATAAATAGAAGACCATCACAGACAAATTCAAACAACGCATTCAAAAAATCATCATGTGGTGAGGGCTGAGCCAAATCTTCCTATCAATCAATTCATCACTCATAAAAATCAAATATGGAATGCACGTGAGCCTCTCTCATCAGACCATGACAGATCCCAGGAGAATATGTGCTTCCCTCATGTTGGAGCTTTCCCTCAATCATGCTCCTGACTAGCCTCTCCTTTGAGAAGATGTCCTCTCTCCCAGTCAGCATCCTCGTGTCCATTCCTTGAGGGCCGTCTTTCACGATTTAGTTTCACCACATTCTGGGTGAGGCCAGTTTCTGTGAGCCTGAAACACATCAAGGGAAATCAGGGTCTCAAAATGATAATGACATCACCAGCGGGTCTCAATGCATCATCAGAAAACTAATCTACATTTGTGTAACATGCAACTTATCGATGGCAGTATGTATGGTAAGAGTGAGGATTTGTGATCAATGAACTCACACTTCATCTTCCACTGTTTCCTCATCCTCTACTGGTACTTGAAGGTAGGGGTTGTTCGATGCAGGTCGGAACTTGTATCCAGTCAGTACAAAGAATACAAAGGTTGCCATCTCATGAAACATTTCATCAAGCCATTCATATCGGAAAGGTAGTGTCAGCTGTAAAGCAACAGAGTGCCCAGTCAGTATAAATCATTAAAACATTTTTGAGATGAGATTAAAAAATAACATACTCGGAGCAGATACACAATAATACGTGTGAAGTAGATATAGCACACAATCATGATGTAGAAGTGTCTGAAGAGTTTCAACTTTTTCAAATTCAGGGCTGCCTTTCCATCAGTTTCAGAAGCCTCCTGAAGGTGTCTGATGGACCTAAAAAGATGAATTCCAAGAAAATGATGAGACCAATTTAATGTCACCATAGGCCAGTTTGTTTTGCATTCCATTAAACGGAGCAATCACCTCACCTTCCCTATGGATCTGTCCTTTTGCTATGACCTTTTAAACAGGGTACAGGGTATGGAGGTTTTTCCATCCAATACATTTTTTTGATTATGGTTAACAAAACAAAAAAAAATCTGGGTGCTCCACATATCCAACCAGAGTGAGCAGAAAAAGGAAACTAACCATACAACAGGCAGCAGGATGGCACCACAGCAGATGAGATCTATTAGGATGAAAATCTCCTGCCAAACAGTTCTGCCTATTTCCCCTTCTTCAGTCTCTTCTGTGATGATTAGGGCAACATTTGCCAACACCTGTGAATGCATGCAAAATGCTGATATAAAAACCTCTGCAGATCTTCTAATGTAGGCTCACTTGAGTTTAACAGCGAGAAGGAAATAATACAAGCTGCCAGTATGGACTCCATAAAATATTCATGCAATCATATGAAAGATCTAGCTGAATTTTCCAAGATTTTTTGAAGCAATAAGCAATAATCCTCAAGTTCTTTTACCACACAACCAACACTTTTGCAAAACCATTTCTCTATGTCTCAGAGGTATCAATGAATAATGACAATCATATACAGTAGTTTGGAAGCACAAACCTGGAGAGGGATAACAATCATGAAAATCCTCTTGTCTTTTGGAGACAAAACATGCTTGATGAATGCCCAGCCAGTCCCAATCAGGACAATGGTGATGAAAAGAAGGGCTCCTTTCAGACTGCATATGGAAATGCACAAGGGGAATGAGACAAGAAGCAGTTGCAAAAAATTATAAAGGCAATTACATAATAATTTATGCAGTGATTCACATAGAGAAGAGAGCTTATTTGCAATTGAAAATGGAAGAGTATAGCATATGGTGAGAGTCTTAGTATTTGGTGTAGTAGTGGCAGAAACAAGCAGGTGGGACATGGAAGAAGGCTCACCAATCAATGCCCTGTCACTGAATCACCAAATTTGGCAACACCATCCAAACATTGGTGTTAGTAGTAGCCTTCCTTGCATTCAAGGAAGGATGTAACAATAACATTCATTCAGCAATAGCCAATTATTTATAATGACATTTTTCCAAGTACAGCGTTATAAACAGGCATATTAATAACAGGCATTGCATTTTCAAACTGTACTTCATTCAAAATGTTTTAAACTCAGCCTTACTGTTGCATAGTGATGTAGAATTACCTTTTAATTGTACATTGTACAGCATTTCATTGAAAATGACATGTAGGAATAGGTTGGTCCAATGGGATAATTTAGGCATTGTAAAAGTCTCATTAGCTCAAGGGAGGCACCTAAAAAGGTCTTCCTTGCCTGCTATTGCTAATACCAAGATCAATGCCTAACACAGACCTTCTGCTATCCGTAATTGTTAGTCCCTTCTGTGATTGCTGAAATTGTATAATCCAACATCATTCCAAATTTTAAAGTCAAACATCTCTATAAAAAGCAGAAAATGGAATCTCTGAGCACCCTAAGTTACTTTGCACAAAGTAATTTCACAGTTCATCAACTAAATGTGCCTCTGCTCTCAAGCCAAAATGTGCTACTAGTGAAATGCTTGTTACGACAGCAGTTCACCAAAAATGTGACCTACCTCCATAGGTTAATTTCATGACAAATCACAGCAAAAATTTGCATAGTAAAACCAATTTTTTTAAAACTTTGCATAATGCAGGGGAAAGTTGATCAACCAATTCCTTCAACTGGCATCTCCCTTTCCTTGTTCTCATCCCCTCTACATCATTCCCATCCATCCTCTTCATCTTCTCAACAACATTGGTAATTGCACCTACTGCAATGGCAACTGGTCCTTCTTAAAACTAACATCAACAATAACATTCAAGCAGCAGTTGGGAAGCTATGCTTATGTAGAGTAAATTCGTTCATTAGTTATACAATGAAAAAGGCTAAAAATGAAAATGGTTCCATCATCACACGGAGAACCTAGAAGATATCAACTAAATCCTCTACATCTTTACTGATGGGACTCATAAGATCCTTGTATGTGTTCTTTATATAAAGAGGTTTCTCAGTGAAACCAAAGCTATGGCATTATACTCTAACACCTAAGTTCCCAATTGAGCCTCTGTTCATTTCATTCAGAACTGTCAAATTGTAAGAGAATCCCTACATCCCTGTTTAAGTCCTTATAACTGGTAGCAATTGCATCGCCAGCATCCACTAGCATAGAAACTCTTGAGAGGGAGTAGAAATGAACTGCCAAGAGGACTTACAGGTGGGTGATATAGTACAGGACTGCCCAAGCCTCAAGATGAACTCCATGGACTTCAATGAAATGATAATTGATGCCATGGAAGAGGAGAGAGAGTGACTTTGTAAACACTAGGATGCCCATCAGGTAGTGAACCTTGAACACTGTGGACCTGTAATATAAGAGTAATATATAAATACTGGCTAAAGATGCTTTAATACAAATATATGGTCTTACACTAGGCTCATATGGGATACCAAGCCATTAGTGTACCAAGTTGTAAATTTAACCTCACTCCAATCCAGTATTTCCAGTTCTCCAGTTTTCACTCCAACTGCCAGGCTACTGCCAAAACTAGAGTGACTATGCCAGAACCATACAAGTTGAACATGTATGCACATATATGCATACTCAATTCAAGTCTTAAAAAAAAAAAATAAGGTGCAGTGCCTTGGAGAATAGAGGCTATTTCTAACTTGACAAACATGAGTGTTATATGGAGAGAATGACATAAGTGAAAAAAAGGGAAAATACTTACCAACTTTTATGAAGAAGAAACAACCAGAAAATGCCTGTTAGGCAAAACAGGAAGGACATCATGAAATACAAGGCTGGTAATGGCATTTCTCCAGCAGAGAGGAAACTGTCTTCATTCTTTTCAGTGATGGAAATCTGAAATGAATCATAGAGCATCATCTACACAGTGACACTCAGTGTCAGTAAGAGCCTCAGGTAACCCTTTCTCTCATCATGTACCTACTTTTGCAAAGGAACTGAAAACAGTTTTTTTTTATTTTAAGCATATTTTGCTTATTTTAAGTATATTCATTTATAAGGCACTTTTCCTGATCCATCCAAAAATTTCCCATAATAATGTAAACTAAGCAACCAATTAGTTGTCTAATTACAGCTGATATTACCAAGAAAAATATTGAAATTAGCAGCTGATTTGGATACATGATGTTCTGAATGTAAAATTACCAAGAAAATGGACAGAAAATAAATAGGTCAGCCTACTGAAAGGGTTCAGCTCAAAAATCATTCAATCCACCAACAAATTCCAGTTGCACAAGAGAACATTCTTTCTTCCAGATATGCTATTTTTTTCCATTACTTGAATTTTTTTATTATTATAAAGAGGTCCACTTTAATCATTATACAACCAGTGCATGAAGTCTCATAAGCAGGTAAACATTCAGCCTTCCATCACGACACTTTCTTTACCTGACATTTGACATTTATGCTACCCTCACAGCTAACTATATCTGGGAACACAGTAACTTGAGAATTACTTCAAATGTATAAAGCTCAAGAATCCAGGTATTGAGAATCATTAATGTTCCAGTAACTGCTAGCTGATTCATGAGATTGATGAGATGCAAAATACAAAGTGAAATGCTATTATAAGTAAATCATTTTCTTGCAAACAGACATGGAAGAGCTTAGAAGCTATAAATAAAAGAGAACCTAAAGCAAAAAAAGAAGGGAACTACACTCACGTCTAATTTGACTGATGTCTTCTGATTTCCCTTATAATTCTCACAATTGTGAAAGTAAAAGCTGTACAGGCCTTCTTCTTTTTCTGTGCGGATGCGTATAGAGAACTGCAAAAAAATTGTCAGATTCTTGAGGAAAACAAAGAAAGGAAAGGCAGATAAGATTCATGCATGAGATGTAGAAGACTCACATTTGATGAAAAAACTGTTGTATGGTTGTCTTGAGATAGAGGAATAGCAATTTCACTACATATGTTACCAGCTTCCTTGGATACTGCAAAGAAGTTCCATGAAAAACACTCATCAAAGTCACTAAAATGGCCTACCTTGATCTCAAATACACATTCAAGACTTAAATGTGAATAAGTCCATAGCTCTCTCAACTTTGTCTTACAATAAGATGTGAAGGAAAATGAAGACATATGCAGTGACATTTTTGCTCTTTCACACACCCTGCAGTAAAATGAAAATAAGACAGGGCAATGGACACAAGCATAGTCGAGTTGCTAATAAGCTTCAGAGAAGGACTTCAAGTGACCTCAATGAGTACAGCTCTCTGAGTCTAAGTGATAGGCAGTATTTTCTTGGTTCAACTAATAAAAAAAAAAGAGAATCCTCTCTTCCAAATGGTTACAATATTTTAATTTTAAATAAAAATATTGACCAAGTTTTGAAGGCAATTGAAAAATATAAATTAATAAGAACAAAGTAGGAACATATAAGCAGCAACTATTGGGTTGTTCGGAAAGTTCTGTCCGAAAATTTTGACATACTGTATTTTTCCCAAATATTTTTCTTGCTTGGTCATATTTTTTCCTTATGTGCATGTGCTATTGTATTTTATCAATATGCTTTTGACCCTGGGAAAGGTGCTTAAGCTGGGGTGTTGGGTACCCCATGTACTGTCACAAGCTGACCGTGACCGTCGTTCGGACATCTGCACGTCTTTGCTGTTGTGTTCGCGCAACTTCGAGTGGTTGCGCTACGTCATCACTGGCGACGAAAAGTGGTGCCTGTACATTAACCGTACACGCCATGGCCAATGGGTGAGCACGCACCAGCAGCCGGAGCCAGAGCCGAAACTTGATCCGCACACAAAGAAGCTCATGTTGACGGTTTGGTGGGACACCAAAGGCGTCATCCTCTGGGAGGTGTTGCCCCACAACCAGACTGTGACTGCGCAGTACTACTGCAACCAACTGCAGCGTCTCGATGACTAACTCGCTCTGGTTCGCCCGAGGCACAGCCGTGTTCTCTTCCTCCACGATAACGCGCGGCTGCATACTGTGAAGTGCACACGGGACAAGCTTTTCCAGCTGGGCTATGAGGTTCTGCCCCACCCAGCTTACAGTCCAGACATAGCGCCATCAGACTACTGGCTCTTCCGCATGCTCGACCGGCACCTACGCGAGAAGAGCTTCGCCGATGAGAACGCACTCAAGATGGAGATCGGCCACTTCTTCGACTCCCAGCCTGAGACATTCTACAAGGACGGCATCAATGCCCTGCCGGATCGCTGGCAGAGGGTTGTGGATGCCAATGTTGACTACTTAGTAGAATAAAGTGTGGTTGTTAATGAATAAACTTTGTGGAAAGAAAAGTGTGAAAAACGGACAGAACTTTCCGAACAACCCAATACAACCTGAATGAAACCATGGACACAAAAAAAACAATCCTTTTCACAAATCATACAAAAGGTAAGTGCTGCGAATGTCGGCACTGGGGGTAATCTCAGCACTGCAATTGTCAACATTCTGCTTTCACTTCCAGTCCCTTTGGCATGGGCAGACAAGTGCTCTCAAATGGCAGGATTAATGTTGATAACATGTGCTTGGAACAGTCAGATTTGCTGCCTTAGTTTTCTCACAGTGGCTGCCTTCTCTAAGCATACTCCTAAAATCTTACAAAATCATGATTTTGCAAAGCTTTTGCATATTCAGTTCTCTTCCACACAAGGTATTGTTTTATTTGGCCATTTGCTTTCATTTTGAGTCCATTGTAAATGACAGTGATATGTAGGTGAGCCAAGATTCCCAATAGGGTGGTGCCTGCTATGCCAGCAAGTGTGCCAAGATTGCCAACATATGACCCAACTTCATCTTTGGCCCAGGCCCTCAGAAAGGAAAGGCCCTGGGCACTTGAGGTGTATGGTGCAAGGAGGTTTAGAATAAAGGTATAACCTGACTCAACATGAATGAGGAACCTCCATTACAGAAACCACCAGACAAGGAAGTGAAAAATTGCATAGAATGCAGACATTCGCAGCACTCACCCTATGTAATGAACATTAAAAACCAGCCAATTTATTCATGGTGAACTTAAGCATCATCCAAAAGTTGGCATTCAATGATATTTATATAATATGTATTCAGTGATTTTCAGACCAACCCTCAAAAGCAGAAATTCAATTCAGTAATTCATAAACAATTCAGTAAGCAAATAATTATCAAATATAGAAGTTGCCCACTTAATACAGATTAAGGATGGGATGTTGACTGGTCGATATGGTCTTATTTAGTCAAGGTGCATAATGCCTGCCTCTTGTTGGGGTTGTTGCCTATTTCTGACAATAAATGACCAATATTGACCAGTCTACATCCCATCCTTAATCTGTATTAAGTGGGCAACTTCTATATTCGATAATTATTTGCTTACTGAATTGTTACTTGATTCAACAGGCAAATAATTTGAATGGGTTTATAGTAAAATATTTTTGGACTGACACTTAAATTATGGATATCTTCAAAAGCAATTTAGTGTGCTGCATATACAGAGTGATTCAAAATTATGTATACACATTTTGAAACTATGTATCTTCAACACTTATGGTACTGAATAAACAAAACTTAGCTATGTAGACAACATGAACATGTGAAAATGATATACAACAGTCATCTTATGTCAAATGTTCAAAATGTTATTTTTTTAAATGCTGGTACATGGTTATTAGTTTCCACATTTTCTAGACTTCATACGATTTGTTTTCTTCTGCACTGGATTTTAATGCATTTTGGACAGTTCTGTGTTCTTCAAATGTATCACCTATATGACTAATTGTTTTACATGTAGCAGCTGCTGTTCTATACTCTCGCATCAAGATATGCTGTACTTCCTTTACATTCTCATACTTGCAGTACCACTTCAATATGTTCTTCCTTTGTTCAAAATTCAACTGTACATCTGCCATATAGAGGATATTTTATGTAACTTTTAATAAAACAAATTTTAAGCAATGCTGTAAGCTAGCAAGCGTATTATCATTAGTTATTATGACATTTACCATAAATGGTACAGTGCGATTCAAAGTGTGTATACATTATTTTGAATCACCCTGGGTATATGCATTTGAGTCTAACCTGGTGCAGCTGTCGGTCCTGCGGATTTTGCAGATCTTCGACTACGTGACTGAAAGAGGGTAGTATCACTTGTGGCCTTCATGAAAAATGATGGTACGTCCCTCTTCTGTCTGTATGGTAGCCCAAGTGGTGTTGGGAATTTCTTCTTTTGCCCAGCTTTTCCATGCTCAGGCAGCTGAGATGTGATCATTGCCTCTATCTGAATGGTCTGAAGTTGTGGACTGCATTTCACTGTCATGCTGCATCAAAAAATATGACCAAGTCAAAGAAAGTATCAATAGTGTGCATTAGAAAGCCCACTGTCTTTAGCAAGTTAGGCCTGTCTATGGAAGACCATTATGAGACATATACTGTATATGCACATGACTTACACATTGTCCTTGAGATCCATGATGAACAGCACAAATGCATTTGAGGCATCAACAGAGTTAATGACACTCTCATCTTCAAGCAGGCATTTATCCTTATTTGTTTCCATATAAGGATTTATAGAATCACTCGCAGTATGATCAATGCTGAACCCAAACTGCAAAAAAAAAGACCAATTTCAATTCTTAATTAGTTGAAATTCTCAAATATGAACATCTAAACCTACAATGATTTGGGTGCCATATCATTCAACTACTGTTACCATCACCATTTTAAGTGTAATGTACTTAAGTGAAGCCCTAAAATGATCATTTTGAAAATCCATATTGAGGTGTGAACTTCCAGTTCTGTCTAAAGCAAACCTCAAATAAACTAAACATTTTCTATGTGAACTTGAAATATAACGTGAGGCACAAAGGCAAACTAACAAACAGTAGTCAACATCCAATTAAGGCATCAGAACCAGAGCCTAAACTCAACTCCAATTAGAGATCCAGGAACTAAAAACAAACCTACACTTCCCCAGATTCATGAAGCCAAACTAGATAAGACTGAACCTATCTATCCCTTCTTTATCTAAACCCAAATCAAATCCAAAAAATGTTTTCTGGGTTCCAAAACACCTCAAGTTCTGATGAATTGCTTTTATACTGGGCACAGGCCTGATTGTATTCCTCTATAAAGAAGAGCATTGCTCCTAGTAATGGCAAAATTGCATAAAACACAGATCATCGGCATCTGCAACATCTGCAGTTCAAATATCTCATTTGTTGAGAGCATAACCCTTCAATGGCAGATCACATAAGGTGATGAAGTATTCCATTCTTAAGGTTTTTGATGTAACATGAGGCATCAATCTGCAAGTTACTAACCATGGGAGTTCAACTCCCATGGTTAAGCTTCAACAAAATAATGAGCAAGTCTTATAACTTAGGGGAATTCTGTTGTTCCTGGACCAAATATATCTTTAGGGTTCTGTAACTTTTGCTAGGTTCAACTATCTTACATTTAATATAAGGCTATAATAGCTTCCTACTCCTTTGTAAATAAGGTTTCCAAGATAACTACCTAGTACATCAAGTAGAGCAAATGAAGCCAATATATGATTCTTCTTACCTTTCCGTCTGGATTATATGGAGAAAATGCAAATTCATGAAGAGTGACCTCAAGGAAGCCTCCTTTGTAGAAACCAAATGAGCTTAGAGCAATGTACTTCCTCACATCATCCTGTTTCAAAAGAGCAAGAAGAAATTATATTTCCCTTCTTCATTAAGAAAAACATAATAGACCTGGGGTTAGACTATCTTAAAAGCATGAACAACACTTCATATTACGTTTAGACCAATGATAAATCAAGGCCTAGTTGCAAATCTCAAATGTAATGCACAATGGCCTTCCCCATTCGATCGATTGATTGCAGGCTGCAAACCATGAAACCTGAGACACAGACAATGAGTCTAGGCATGTTATTATATTTGGCTTGCTTCTGTTAAGGCTACTGAGCATCTGTACATCCTCAACAAAAACTTCACAATATACTTGTCAAAATGTACCTATTACTGGAAATTAACAACCTAAAATGAAAGAAAATTACTCTTAAATTCTCTTCCTGTCTTAAAGACCTCTCTCCTCTTACCTCCCTCAGATGTTCTCAGATATGTGATAGATGACTATACTCTTTACAAAGTGCAGTTTATTGTAATGACAAAGCTGAAAAATTATTCATATGAAGGCAACCAGATGACAGAAATAAATCCTCTAGGCTTCTGACATGCCATGCATCTCCTTGAAGTCTCTGACAGAAAAGGAGCTAATAATCATAGCAAGCATAGTCACCTCCCCCCCCCATGCCATGAATGACAGCACATCCATATATATTTTTGAGTCAAACAATGACTCATTAGCAAGAAGGGGTTGGCAGCTTTCAAGAAATGGATGGCAAACTATGATTTCCTCAGAGAAACCTGGGGCATTTGCAACCACAGGGATTTCTTCATTGCAAATGGGTTAGATGATGTTCGTTCTTTCATAGAACATAAAAACAAAAACCTACACTAACAGAAGGGAAGAAGTCATGCAACTTGGTATATCCAGAGCAGCTTGTAGTCAGATTAAATACAAGGAAATGCAGCTACTTTTTCAAGGAGATAATATCAGATGCTAAATCTATTCTCAACATGGGTCCAAAGACAAAGTGGAAAAAATAAATAAGTCATTTAAGGGATAACAGCTGATACTCCTGCAAAGGTACACCACACCCAACTGCTAATTCAGTTAGGGTAAATGATCACTGGCTGACTTCAATGAAGAGAAAATAAGATGGAATGCAAAAGTAGCCCTCCCAAGCCACATATTTACCGCTTTAGTCACTTAATTCCCAATACTCGAAGTTCCAACCAATAGTACTATGATATCTATGCTGCCTTCCTGCTCCAGTGGTGGTAAAACTGAACGAAAGAAGCAGTATCTGTCATACTACACCCAGCTATGGGGTGACACAACTGTTCAAAGATCAGTATATGTATTAATAAATTTAAAAAATTAAAATAAAGAATCAAGCATGTGGGCTACAATCAAACCAGCAAAGCTCAGTATTGACGTCCTAGTCGTACACCATTGAGCTGACAGCTCTCATTCTCAAAGGAAGGGCATGTACAATGTTTTTCTCATCAGCTAGACACTTTTTCACTTGACTTCGACACCCACGCATGAGGAACGTCCCAAGCACATGTGTCTGAGTCAAGTGAAAAATTGTCTAACTCAAGTGAAAAACACTGTAGTAGGGATATGAAAAGAATCGAAACTATGCTGCCCGGGATATGACTGGATTCAGGGTTGTCTAGATTTTGACTATCTACGACTTAAGGGCCTAGGCCTAGAACGTACCTCTAGTTGAAGGCGATGCCTCTTTGCCTCGCATTCGTGCGACACAAGGCTCACACTTACGAGGCACAAAATGGTTATTGCAAGGAATCTGCACATCATGAACTAGACTTGGTAAGAAACACCTTAACCTTTATCCACGGCAAAGTTCCAACGACACTTGGAACGGCGAAGGAACCCCACTGCCCAAGTGCGCAGCCATGTTCCATTTGGCGCATGCGCTGAGTGCTTCCTCCCGAGCCCCGGCCGCTTACGCACAACTTGCCAATGCAGGTTCGCAGACTTCCTGGGCTGGAGGATGGAAGTGTCATGTCCAGGGCCGGATTAAGGGGGGCGAAGAGGGCTGTTGCCCCGGCCCCCACTTTTCCAGGGTGCCCCCCGAAGGAAATTAAAAACGTTAAGCCCTTGCGTAAAGCAGCAGGGGGAGGAGACGAAGAATCCACTTGTCCCCGGCCCTGGCCACGACGCCTCCGTTTCCCCCCTTCTTCGTCATCTCTAACCACAGATCGTGAATTGTGATATCCTAATGAAGAAAGGGGGGGACATGTGGCTCGAGCTTCCCGGCCGCAATCCGCTGGAAACAGCTGCAAATTCGGAGCCATTCCAGCTGGGAAATGCTGGAACCAGGTTGGTTCGCCGATGGAATTTTTCCACAGGCTTGTGACAAGTGGAAAAGAGAGGAAAGCACCTACGCGTATGAGAAAACCGTAAATTAAATTTAATGCAAAATATACATAAAAAGCCAAAATAAAAAATGTGCATATCGCAATGCGACAAGTACTAATTTTTCCAGTACTGTTGTTGGAGGTTGGAGAAGCAAATGATTCATGATTTGAAATGCGGAAGGTTATAGAGAGAATGACCATTCCAAACGGTGCAGCCTTCATTGAAGACTTGATACGTTTATATA